TCTCCTTACAGCTTGAAAGTCGACAATACCCTTCCATCAAAAGAACCCTTTTAATCACTACCCCCTCCTCCATTGTAAATAGATACTTTGAAACTTATCAAGCTGGGTCTAATCCTCACTGATGCTAACACGAACCTCCCAAGACCGTTACATGTGGGAATTTAACTTAAAGGATTTTGATTCACCACGATTACTGGTTGTAACTTCCCATAAATAAGACCAAAAAATTTCATTTTTAATTTAAATAAAACGGTACTTCAAAACATTGTCCTACAATCCAAATAGACCAAAGTATGTCACTACATCATATTATATCAAAGTAAATCACAATGTGCGGAAAAAGGTGGTGTGCTCTGCAATCATCCTGGGCTCTTCCCTTCGATCCTGAAGTATCTGAAACATAAACTGAAACCCGTAAGCACAAGTTTAATGAGTTCCCCAAAATACCATATACCATACATAAATAACACATACTGGGCCCCCGCCCTTCATCAGGCCCTTCCCGGCATCGAGTCCCACCCGGTCTTGGGCCCGCCCCGCATGGAGCCCCGCTCGGTTTACAGATCTATCAATCACCAGGCCCGCCTAACATCGGGCCTCGCCCGATACACATATAAGCATATAGACATATAATCATACTATCAAATGCAATAATCACAAAGATAATAGCCTACAATACGGTCATCGGGCCATGCCCGACATCGAGCCCCACTCGGCATACATACAATGCATACACATGCAAGAGTCACGCAAACATCAACATCCTAACATAATAAGCCATGGGCCGGCATTGGTGCCTTCGACCCGCTAAACACAATGAGGAAACTCACCTCAGACTGCTGAATCTCACAGATAATCTCTGGTTGTTAGCCAGCTAAAAATCTTCGTGCTATCAATCACAAAATAATATCCAATTAATAATTGGATCCCGACTCAGACTAAGAGTCCAAACTTCGGTAGAAGTCGTTTTTACCCTTTACCACATGGCGCAAGGCCAAGGCCCAAACCAACTGTCCAGAAGGCCCAATTCCAAAATAATCACCCAAAGCCCAAATATGGCTCAATTTCCAAATTAGGCCCAAATCCCTTCATGGAGAGTCCAATAAAATAACATCTGCCAAAATAGAATTCTGATGGCCAAACAAGGCCCAAGACTCCTAAGGTTCAACATGGGCCCAATACCAAAAATCCCAAAGATCTGAAGCCCACTGCTGAGGACGCAGGGCGTACTTAGCTCGTACGCTTAGCGTACTCGCTTTGGGGCTTGTACGCGCAACATACCAGCTGTACACCCACGTACTCCCCAGTTTGGCCAACTTCCATCATTAAGCTCTTATTCGGTTAAGACTTACGATCCCCCAATACTTAGATCCTACTTCCTTAAGGTGGTTTATCACGTAAAGTTGGCAACTTTACGTTGCATGCATGGTTTAATAGGGTTCTAGACCAAAAGAACCTAGATCTACCACTAGTACAAAAATGACCTACGGTCACTCTTTCTGAAAACGGCCTGTGACACTTTTTATTAAAAGTGTGGCCAAAGGTCACTAAAAAAAATTTAGAGACTGTTTTTGGATACATTTAAATTAGTTTGTGTGGCCATTATATAGATAATCAAAACTTTAACCACACTTAATTATATCAAAGTGACAAATATTAGTCACACTCGACCACTGAGGCCATAAGTCACAATCAGCCACCACATGTATCGATTAAGATTGTCATATTTTTTATGAGAGACAGTAGATTAACGTATCGTGACATGAGTTAGTCTATGTAGTTTGTAACCTGGTGCCTATTTAGCCACATAACAGACAAAGTAGCTAAAAGGTGATATATATGGTCACTCTAAATATTTGTGTGTCCATAGGGCGGTTCTGTACTAGTTGTACTTAGTTAACGCAAGAATTAAAACAACTTAGTATGGGTTACTTATGGTCATGTATCATTTATTATGTGTGTCAAAATATTATGAATTAGCTTTAAGAAGAAACAAAACATTGTGTGCGTAGGTACCATTTAGTTACGATTACATCTATTATATGTGTCTATATGTAAATATAGACACTATGTAATGTTATTGTGGTTGTTGTACTTGTATTTGGAAGACTCTTAAATTTGACCATAATTATCTTTGATATCATTTGGCAGAATTAAAAATAAACAAAAAGTTAAATCATGGCATTTTACAAAAATACATTGCTTATTTGCAATTAAAGGGTTGTATTAAAAAATGAAAAAAAATGAATTGCAGTTTTGTAAAGTTAGAAACAATTTCAGAAGAAACAAAAAAAACTAAAAATAATAGAAACAAAACCAAAACAGTATAGTTGTGTTGAATAAGAGTTATAAGAAAGGATCAAATTGCCCTTTTTGTCATCTATTCTTTTAATTGCACCAGATCAGACACCATTAAAAATGAAAAGAATACAACTTATTTTAACAGAATAGTATGATAAATAAATGAAAAGAATACAACTTTGTCTAACATTGCATAACGAAAGTACATTACTATAAATTGAGTTTATGTTATACCTATCATCCACCATTACAGTAAAAAACTGAAAAAAAATAACTTTGAGTTATAACCAATCTTACACCAGATAATTTGATGGTATAATATGGTAAAAAATATTAAGGAAAGTACATCGTCATTTTTTGTCATTTTCTTATTCTCTACGTAACGCTAGGATGAAGGTTTGACCTTTCCCTTCTACAAAAAAAAAATAAAGATCATTAAATGTTAAAAGAAGGAAAAATATTATCGCTACAAATGTAATCATGACATTAGAAACACCATACCGTACGTATAACAATACCATGACAATCAGTACGAAAATAATCATTTTCCTTCTGCAACTCAAGTGTGTCTACACGTGGCAATATATTATCATTCTGAGGAACTACAGTACTAAATTCTTCATCTACATCTTCATATGTATCTCTGTACTTTTTGGGAGGTGTATTGAACACGATAGACATTTTTTGATCGAGTGGGTCTGTTGACATAAAATACTTGTTTTGCTTGTGAGGCCAATATGAAGGGATCACCTTTATGGCCTAATCTTTT